TTTGGAGGTTTGAGCAAAAGTGGGTTTGCTACTTTTGAATGATATAAGATTGAAAAAATAGACTTAGCCCACATGTTTCTATCATGAGTTTTGTTCTTGCATAGCAGTAGCACTTTAGTTAGAAACTCAATTCTTGGCTTGTTTTAGAGCTTTCTTTGAGGAGTGAAATGCACGTCTAGCTTGAAGCAGGTCCGTTCGGTATTTGTTAAGTGATGAATATTTCAATTTGGACTGTGCACACACTGCGGCCATATTTACCATACATTTCAATGCAACATTTTTGAGTCACAGGGTTGAGAACATTCAGGACCACTGAGTGGCCTATGACGCTAATTTAGTCCTCCTGAATAAAGGGCACCTTAGTTTCATCCCTTCTCCCCTTTCTTATAATAAAACCAACAAGGGAAATTGAAAGCAAAAATCTGTCACCAAAACAATGTTAACACCAAAACAATGTAACATCGATTACAGTGAGCCCAAGTATGTCTACTTGAGCTCTAGTGCAAAGTGTAGACACACCCAAAGATATAGGATGTGCTACCTGGCAGTTAACATTGCATGGGGAAGCTTAGATTGGGGTATTTCTTTAACGATTTGCCATGTCCCAACTTCATTGCTATTCACTGAGGCATTTAATAGAAAAGGGTGACTGGGGCTAGGGCTGTACAAAACAGCACCAGTTCAGTTTTGCAGATGTTTTTGCAATTGAACCCCACTAATATGGTTGCCGGTGAGTGTCAAGGAAAATGTTCTTACAGCCCTGATCACAATGCATAGAGTATCTCATTCTAAAGAGAGATAACAAGATAGAGATTATTGAACTGTTTACCATCATATGCCCCTGTAGCAAGGTGAAACCCATTTTTATCAATTGCTGCACAGGTCACTTCAATATTAGGCCCATGGGCATCTTCAATCTGGTATATTTGTTGACCAGATTCTAGCTCCCAGACCTAGAAAAAATAAAATTATTTGCAGTCCATCCTACAAAAATCCCAGGGACTATGTATCACAAACTGGCTGCAAAAAGATTAACATGCTGAATAGATGATTGTCATAAATCCTATGAAATATGCTTCCTGATACTGTAGCAGATTTAACAACACAACATTCACAATTACAGTATAATTCCAAAAATCTCTGCCACCCTAAGAAATCCATTCTAGCAAAGATAGTCTATTTTTACCAGTTACATGAAATAGTTTCTTTTTAACTAGGCAATTCATTTTATCTCACTGGCTGATGGCTGACACGGGCTGACAATTGCTCCTTTCCTTCTTCCCTCCTTCCCCCATTAGGGGGCCTAACTATGTATACATGCTTAAATTCCTCATCTGGAGCAGAGGTGAAAGTAAGCCGGTGAGCCCTGGTGTGCAGCTCCAGCAAGAGCTGAGCTGTGGCAAAAGCCCTCAGAGAGCTATTTAAAGAGCTGTCAGGCACCGGGGTTTCAACAGGACAGCAACTGTAAGAAATTTTAAGTTACTTTCACTGCTGATCTGGAGCATTCTTATATCACATTTATAAAACAGCTTTTTATAACCAATGATCACTGTTTCATAGGCTGAATTCAACTGATATACAAAGATCCATTCCTGTAAGTGAAGTGTGGAACAAAACTCAAGTGAAGGAAAAGGAATTCACCATCAAGAACAGATTCTCTTCCTCCCCTCCCAATCCTTCTGGTGCCTAATGTGAAAGAGGAGACTAATTACATTGATTCTGCAGTTCACTTGAAAGGGTCACCTGATAGAAATAATGCTGCTGTGATGTTAAATGGCTTATTTATCATGGATTACCACTTCCCTAGAGCGTTAAGGCATAAGAATAGCTACAAAGAGGATGGCTCACATAACAAATACCATTAACTTCTGCTTAATTGCTCAACAGTTTATCTGTGATAAAAGCAACTGCAACATTCCTTTTCTCTCCTGGTTTAAAGCAAGTTTATGCTCACCTTCACAATAGATTCAGCACAGATAGTGAGAACTTGATGAAAAGCCCTGTTGTAAGTCAGTACATTGATGTTTCTTTCATGCGTTTGTGGAACCTGTTTGGTGTCTTGTATCATCCGGGTTAGAGGATAAATGTCAATGACAGATGACCCTGTACGTGGCAAGAGAGGTACTAATACATACATGTTATGTGACTGTGCAAACTGCCATGTAAGGAAATGGATAAACTCTACATGAGCCGTTGTGTTTGATTTAAATTCAAGCTATCTCTGCCCAACGTTAGTTCTAGAGAATTTCTGCGGCCTGAAGAAAACTAGAAAATAGTCCCCTCTCCCAGGCACAACAATCATTAAATAGGAATATTTATCATATTTTGCTGCCTTAGACAATCAACTATCCAATTTTTATGGTAGAGACAACCCTAGCCCCAAGATCAATAGGAAGCACAGGATTTACAGTTCCAGAGTGAGCCAACATAGGAGGGAACAAATAAATGTCTTCCATGTACAAAACTGAAAATAGAGCTTCATTCCAGTGATGAACAGGGCATGAAGACTAGTGGGTTTTGGGAGTGCAAAAGGAGAAACAAGCATTCTGTCGGGTTCTTGGCTAACACTTTCAGAACAGATTCAAAAGATTTACATAGTGAATTTCCTGCTCTGCAGAAGCATTGAGACTGCTGTCAAAACCTCCACTGTTCTCTGTTGCTTCAAAGCAGCAAAAATATGAAGTAAGAGTCTTCTCTCCAAGTGACAGTGGAGTGCCCAGAAAATAGTGTTGGCTCTATGGTCACTGTTCTATTTTCTATTCAATTTTGTCTGCTTAAAAAAACCAAACCCAGAACTTTCATATATACAATCAGTGGGCAACTGTCATCACCAAGACCTTGTCTTCTCTAAGAAAAAAATGCTTTACTTCATGTTAACTAAAGGCAAGGTTAAGTCCTAATCAAGATATTGCCATTTGTAGTTTTTACATGTTAGCAGGTTGAGGAAAAGTTTATATGTAAATCTAGGGTTTACCTCGATCTACTAAAGTGTTAAAACCACAAATTGGCATGAGGATTTTATCTTCTTCATTAGGATTTTATCTTGTCTAGTTACCACATTCGCAGACCCGAGGTAAGAACATGCCTTTTTTCAGTGAGGACGGCAAGATACAGTGAGCCAAGTATTTAAATACGAATGGCAACAGTGGGTCAGACCAATGGTTCATATAAGCTCAGTATCCAACCTTCTGACAGTGGCCAATGCCAGATGTCTCAAAGGGAATGAACAGACCAGGTCACTCGAGATCCTTCTCCTATCATCTAATCCCAGCATCTGGCAGTCAGAGGCTAAGGGGTTGTATCTCTGATCATCTTGGCTAATAGCCATTGATAGACCTATCCTCCAAGAAATTACCTAGTTCTCTTTTTAATCCAGTGATAGTTTTGGCCTTCACAACATCTGTCAACAACAAGTTCCACATATTGACTGTTAACTGAACCGAGCTGTGTGAAGAAATGCTTTCTTTTGTTTTAAATCTACTGCCTACTAATTTCATTGGGTGACTCCAGGTTCCTGTGTTGAGAAGGGATAAGTACTTGCCTATTCGCTATCTCCACACCATGCATGTTTTTTTAGACCTCTATCATATCCTCTCCCTTAGTTGTCTTTTTTCCAAGCCAAATAGTCTTAATTTTTTTAATCTTTCCACATATGGAAACTGTTCCATACTCTTAATCATTTTTGTTGCCCTTCTCCATTTCTAATACATCTTTTTTGAGGTGGGGTGACCAAAAAAGCACACGGTATTTAAAAAGTGGGTGTGCCACACATTTATACAGAGGCATTATGATATTTACCATCTTCTTATCTATCCCTCTCCTAACAGTCCCTAGCATTCTTTTAGCATTTTTGACTTCTGCTGCACATTGAGTGGATGTTTTCAGAGACCTATCTACAATGCCTCTAAGATGTCCTCCCTGAATGGTAACTGCTAATTTAGATCCAATAATTTTGTAAGTGTAACTGGGAATATCTTTTCCAATGTGTTCATCAACCAGTTCTGTGAGATCCTTTCGTAAACTCTTTGGAGTCTGCTTTGTATTTAACTGTCTTGAGTAATTTTGTGTCATCCACAAACTTGGCCACCTCATTGTTTATACCTTCTCCCAGATAATTTATGAATATAAACTGTTCATATCTGGTCCCCAGCAAAAGCAAGAGCTATTAACTAGCTTCTCTGGAATGTGGGAAGATAAGCTGACATACCACAAGGAGTGTGTTTGAACCGGTAGGACAGGAAGGAGGGACTGACAGCTGGGCCATATTATATCAGCCAGGAGCTTCTAAAAGGAAAAGTGTAGGCCACAGGAGAAGCTCTTGTTCTCAGACAAGCACACACTTTTCCTGGGGCCCCTCATCGACCTCTGCAGCCAGTTTACTGTCATCTACGCTGGGTGGTCAAGGAAGGCACATGACACACATGTCTTCTGAAACTCCAGCCTGTTCCAGAAGCTGCATGCTAGAACCTTTTTTCCCCTACTGCATCATCAGGGTTGGAGATGTGGACATGACAATCTGTATTGTAAGGGACGCAACCTACTCTCTCCTCCCCTGGTTTACAAAGCCCTACACCAGACACCTTGGCCCTTATTTCAGAATAGGCATTATTCTTTGTAGAATGAGGGTTACAGAATCCAGAATAAAACACTCATTATTTTGATATTATTTCAAAATAGCAGGCTTGCTGTGTAGATGCTCATAAAGTTATTTCAGAATAATGTCCATTATTCTGGAATAATGCTGTTGTGTAGACATGCCCCATGGTTGTAACAGTCTCTGATGTGGTGAGAGATCCATTTCAAGGGATTAAAATAAATAACAGATGGCAGGGCTGGAAAAGGGTACAATGGTTTTGTTTTCTTGACGAGGGGTTCATTTTTCAAAATGTTGGGAAATGTGGCTTGAGAGAAATCATCTTCTGTGACTGTCACCTTAAGCCTCTCATGCATATCCCAAATTAAAAGAAACACTAGATTTTATATATAACATGAAGTTCCTTCTCCACTTCAAATAGCCTTCATTTGTAAATGCTCAATTAGCAGAGTATAGAAAGTCGATGTCATGTCCTAGATTTCAGCATATCCCTTGCATCTAATTTTCCTCAGTGCCAGGCAATGCTGCTGTTGCCTTCTGCATGCATGTATCATAATATGGATAATCAACATTTAAAATGAGGAGGGATGCATTTCTCATTCATTAATTATGTCTACATACCTGTAATAAGTGTGCCATGGTTATTGTCAAATATCATGGCATAGATCTGTGTTTCTCCAGGTTTCCCCTGACTATCGTGGAAGATCTGCAGCAGTGAAAGGGTCTGTATATCCCACACTCTAAAAATCTGGAGGAAAAATAAAGGTGCATGGCATGTCACTATTATATTGTCATCCCTTAATACACAGTGTTTCTCACAGTGGTCCATGAAACTACTCTGAGAAACCTGCTAACTGGCCACTCAGGTGTTTTTTTTTACCAGCACCACAGCCACCGAGCCTCGCAGCTCCCATTGGCTCCAGTTCACCATTTGTAGCCAATAGGAGCCAAAGGAAGTGGAGGCCTGGCTGGCTGCAAATGGCAAACCGGAGCCAATGGAAGCCATGAGGCTCCATGGCTGCAGCACCGGTAAATAAATACACTGGAGTGGCCAATTAGCAGGTTTCTCTGAGTGGTTTCGCAGACCACTTTGAAAAATGCTGCCTTAATAATTTGTATTATAATTGCAGTTAGCAGACCCAACAAAGGTCAGGCCCCACTGCTTTAGGTGATGTGCCAAATGCATTGTATGAAACACTCCACGTCCTAAAGAACTTTACAATCTAAATAGAGGATATAAGACAAAGGATGTAGTGCCCTGGTGTTGTACAGAGGGTGAACTGAGCAGAGATGGAATTGCTCAATGTCTCAGAAGCACTCTGTGATAGAGCCAGCATCTGAATTGCAATATGGGTGCTAGATGGGAAATGGTTTTCCCACCCAAAAAAATGTTTAAGAGTTCAAATTTTCCTGTCTCAATTTGGAACAAAAAATTGAAATCTCAAAATGTTGCATGAACCAAAAAATTAAATTTGTTTTGTTTCAGTTGGGGTCAATCTAAAAGTTTCATTCTGTACTTATGAAATTTTTATTGTGATGCTGTCCTCTTTTTTCATTAACATTGTATTGTAATTAGTTTACACTATGAAGCAAAATGGTTTTGAACTGGGGAACCAGATTTTTTCTGTTTGAAAATGTTGAAACTAAACAGTGACAATTCGGGGGGTGGGGAGGGGAGAACTGAGCTGGGAGATTAATCAGAAAAAAGCTGCTTTCGTGAACCATTTCAGTTTCAATGAAGGATGTGTTTTTTGTTAAAAATTCTCAGTGTGTCCTACTCCTGAGACTTAGCCTACTGCCTTAACGCTATCTGTCCTTTCTACCATTTTATACTTCTCAAATATATACTCATACAACCAAAGGGTATGTCTACACTAGCCCCCTAGTTCAAACTAGGGAGGCTAATGTAGGCATTCGAAGTTGCAAATCAAGCTCGGGATTTAAATATCCCACGCTTGATTTGCATTTTCCCGGCTGGTCGCCATTTTTGAAATTTACAAGTCCGGACTAACTGCCCACGTCTACATGCGGCAGGGACCCGGTAGTTCGAATTAAAGCCCTAGTTCGAACTACCTGTTAAATCTCATTCCAGGAGGAATAACAAGTAATTCGAACTAGGGCTTTAATTCAAACTACCAGGTCCCTGCCGCGTGTAGACGCGGGCAGTTAGTCCGGACTTGTAAATTTCAAAAATGGCGACCAGCCGGGAAAATGCAAATCAAGCGTGGGATATTTAAATCCCGGGCTTGATTTGCAACTTCGAATGCCTACATTAGCCTCCCTAGTTCGAACTAGGGGGCTAGTGTAGACATACCCAAACATACTACAGGTTGAAACTCCCTAATCCCGCACTCTCTGGTCCAGCAACATCCATGGTCCAGTATGATTTTAGTTAGCCGGATATCCTCTTATCATGGGTGTGGTCAAGTTTCCCACAGTCCCACAAAGTTTGTTAACAGCCACCACTTCTGGGGCTCAGTGTTCTGTGCTTTTATTTAGCTCTAATTTACCCCAACTATCTTCTGAGAGCCTAGTAAGCAGTGGAAATGTTGGTAATGCTGCGAGACAATATTGATCTCCTGTGGTCCGGCACCATTCAGGTTCTGTGAGTATCGGACTAGAGAGGTTCAACCTGTAGGGTGACAAATTTTCAACATTGTGGCCAGGTTCCCCAGTGACAGAATAGGTAAACAGTACTTGAACTACAATCAGGAAGATTTATTTACAAAAATAAATCTAACAGAAAAAGAATGAACAAAAATGGCTGAAGTCAGGGCATCTAAATACACACACAACCCCTCTCCACAACATACCCTCACTCAGTAGCACCCAGAAGTCCTACTCATGACCAACCAGTCCCTGCCCTTGTACTCACACATTGCTCTCAGTATTGCCATGCGTTGTTATAATCCCATGTTTTTGCACAATGTATTTCCAATAAAATAGACATATTATGTCACTAAAATTATTCTGCCATTGCTAGCAACTTTAGCACAGATACACATCTACTCTCAAACTATGACAATCTTTTCTTGTATGTGCAAGTTACTTGGAGTAATTCAAAAGCACCATTAGATTGTATTTTTACCAGTTTTCACCAGTTTTTACCTTTGATTCACGGCAGGGTGATGTGTCCAGAGGCGCTGGAACAATTTGTATAGTGGAGGTGTTAAGAGCTATTGAACTCAACTGGAAATCCTGTATATCACGGAAACCACGTCAAGCTGCAGCACCCATTCCCCTCCTCCCCCTTACATACACACCCAGGAAAGATGTTCATCATTATCTTTTATTGAAAGAAAAGTTGGGAGGATCTAGAGCAGGGGTGGCCAACCTGTGGCTCTTAAGCCACAGGTGGCTCTTTGCTCACAGAAATGTGGCTCTCAGGGTTATGGCTTGTTCAGAGCCGCATACCCGCTTTGTGCACATGCCCCAGTTCCTGGAGGGAGAAGTGCATGGCTACAGCGGTGGCAGCTCTGGTGAGACCCAGGCATTGGGTTAGAATGGGAGAGGCTTGGGGGTGCCTGGATCTGGGAGAGGGGGAGGGCATTGGGTTAGAGTGGGGAGAACTGGGGAGGAGGTTGGGTTTGGGGGAGAGCATTGTGTTGGGGGAGGTACTGGGAGTGCCTGGCTCTGGGGGAGGGATGTCTGGCTCTTTGCACTACTATCTACAGTTCTTTTGGCTCTTCGTGTCTAACTGGTTGGCCACCCTGATCTAGAGTGTAACACGTGATTTAGGATTTTTAAATTAAATAATCTGTAATTATTGGTTCTTTTAATACTCTCGTAAAAACACACTGATAGTGCAGCAATTAACAGATTTTTTTTTAAATCTTCATTTTAAATATCTTCTATTTGTAAAATCTCACTGGCCTCAAAGGAAAAGTTAGAAGTAAAAATTACTTTTTATCTTTTCTATCTGTTGAGTTCCAGAAGTTCCAGGGGACTCTGCCGGTAACAAAAATAGAAATAATCTGATTAGGCTCCTGGAGAGCCTACTATACGTTGTGAGCCAGATGGCTGCCTGATGCCTTTTCTGAGGTCATTTAATACCACATGCATTGCACAACACCTGTGACTGCTTGACCTCCCTCCCTATATAGTATCCCATGGGATCAGAGGAACTCAGATTATTAGAACTCAGATTATCAGAGCTCAGTCAGCAAAAGAAACAGCAACTCACTTGCAGAAAGTTAGATGAAGACTAGTCTAAAATTTCAGTTATTGACCTGGGCTTTTGGTAAACACATTTGACTTCAAAAACTTTCAGGAGGGGCATAGGAGATGAAAAGTAAGGCAGAAAGAAGACTTGCAACAGGAAATTTATGTGAGAAGAAAAAGCAGACTGAACTGGAGCAGCAAAAATGGAAAGACATGTTTAGAACGAAAGTGCTGGAAGTTAGGGCAACTCTTCAGGAAAAACTCCAAGCACTGTGTGAAAAAGTAGCAGAACCGCACCACCACTGCCACCACAGAAAACATCTGGAAGAACTGAAGAACTTAGTCGTACAATCGCAGAGAGTTGGGGAACCACAGCAGAGAACTGAAGAGAAATCTACTGCAATAATAAAGAGAAAAAGAAAGGTATAAAACCTTCTGAGAAACTCTAGTTTCATATATTGTCTGCTTCAAAGTCTGTAGAATAGATACAATCAAACTGAAGACGTGGTTCTGGTATTCCTTTTAATTCCTCAAATTAAACCATAAATGGGAGTACAGGGAAGCTTCTAGTAAAGGTGCAATTTCATCCTGTACAGGAGGTCAGATCAGATAAACTAATGATCCTTTCTGGCCTTCAAAAATAGACACATCTCTATCAAACTTCTGGATGAAGGGAAGACAGATTTTCCCAACAGATATAAAAATTAAGTATTTTTATGTTTGCTGACTGAATCTGAGGTATCGGCTACTTCCAGATATTTCAGAGGCCAAATAGTAAATTATGCAAATCCATATATGACCGGACAAAAAGTTTGTATGAGATGCTTCATTATAGTCACCAGAGGAAATAAGAACACAGACAATGATAAAGTTAAAACCTGTTATCAGATCTAGCGGAAGCCACAAAACACAGCAAGGCACAGTGCACTTACACAGGGGCAACCAGAATCCTGATGCTTTGGCTCCACACCTCCATTCCAGCAGAGCCCAGGATAACAGTAAATGCTTTGCTAGATTGGAGCTTACCACAGTTTGGGTGTGCCAATACTAGATACTGCAAAGAGGATGTGGCTAGGTATGGTGAGCAACACATTGACCCACAACCCTGGAAGGTAAAACAGTGCTGCTTCTCTCCTCTGCTAGAGCTCCAGGAGGTGTTGTGTGTTCACAAAATGCCTCCTGGACTTCAATCAAATTGGTTTTGCATCCCTCCTTAGAGTCCATTGCTTTATAAGTCCTAATACTGCCCACAGGAGAGAATTTAGTTTTACATCACATCCTTTACCTTGATTCAAAGGGACGTTGTTAAGGGCCCAAAAGCAAACAATTCCGCTGTGTAGGAAAGATAGAAAATATGGCAAAAGACCAGCTTGGCTTAACAAGGAGATCTTGCATGATCTCAAAATAAAAAAGGAGTCTCATAAAAAATGGAAACTAGGACAACTAACAAAGGATGAATATAGGCAAGCAACACGGGAATGCAGGGGCAAGATTAGAAAGGCAAAGGCACAAAATGAGATCAAACTAGCTACAGGCATAAAGGGAAACAAGAAGACCTTTTATAAATACATTAAAAGCAAGAGGAAG